TTGAAAAACCCACTAAAACAAAACATTGAAAAATATTTTCTTTACCATTGTATATGAGAATAATTTAGAACAGTTCTAATGGATGTGGAGTTTGAAGTCACACAAAACATTCACTTTTTAACAAAATTGACAATGGAAACCTGTTAAAATCATAAAGCTTTGCAACAGGTTTGGATCTAGCTTCAACTGAATGAGATCTGGTGAGAAAGATGTTCCCCAAAATTCCACATTTAACTTAAATAGAGGGTATGCTGAGATATGATCTTGGTATTTCCATGATGAATTTCTCAGTTTGTCCAAAATATTTTTGACTTGACTTTTGCACTTGGAGTCAATTGGTTCAAATGTTTATATTTTCAATATCAGCCAATATTGCAGAGGTTTTTTTTTCCAAATACCAGAATAATAATTAAGCTATTACAGTGTTTTTTTTAGTTCCTATTGACAGGCTGTTCTAAGGAAGGTGTAAATAATTGCTGCCCTCCTCAGGAGGAAGCAGCAAGTTGAAAAGGTCAGACATGTTCTGCATGTCAGCCCTAAAGTGGTTTATTAGCATCCCGACGACTTCTTGTGGGGGAATTGTCTGAGTCATAATTACCTGGAAAAGGTACAGATGAACGCTGTATTTAGGGGAAGAGGGAGGCAAGGTTGGTTGGATATTGGCTTTGTCTCCATTAACCTGGAGCACGGTGTTAAAGGATCTGTTTGTGGAGAGAAAATGACAGAGAGCGGAGCTGACGGGGCTGGACTCAGACAGTTAAAGGCCCCTCGCTGCATAGGATAATTAATAAATAAAATACCAGGGGAGCCCCTGCCAAGCCTCTGCCTATGACAGGGGCTGTCTCCAGTGCGCTAAAGCATTAAATGACCAATTTCTGTCAGACTAACTTCCACTCCACTTTCTCTCTCCCTCCCTCTCTCCCTTTCTCTCTCTCGCTCTCTCTCTCTCTGTCTTCCTTTCTCTTTTGCGTGCCCTCTTGTCTCGGCATCGCTCTCACCCCACTCTCCCTTATTCCCTCCCCTCGCTTCCCCTGTTTTCCTGAAGTGGGGCTACTTTGCTCTCTTTGCACTGAGTTTTTCAGCGACTGATGGCTCTAGTTCATTTCTGCTGAATTAATTGGTCCCTGAATGAATTCTGTTGACAGGGCAATTCATCATGTGTTTGGCCTGACAGTGACTGGGTGTTGGGTAGGGGAGGAGACAGAGGCGTTGGAGAGTGTGTGTGTGTGTCAGTGTGTGTGTGTGTGGGTGGGTGGAGTGGGGGGTGGGGGGTTGTAGTGTTGAGGGAAGCCAGTCAGAGGTGGAGGTGGTGGGGGGTTGGTGATTGCGGCCTCCCACTTCTTTCTCACTGCTTTGCCTCGTCTTATCTTTTAATGTCCGACTGGATTCTCTTGATCACACTGTTACCTTAACAGTTGGGTCTCAAATGCCCCCATCACCCCTCTGGATGGTTTCTGCTTCAGGCTACAGACCCTGTCTCTATGTTTCCTTTTTTCCCCTAATGCCCCCCCCTCCCTACCTGATATGTCAACACAGACACAGGAACACCGCTGCCTGCTCCTCAGATCTTTTACAGAGCAACAATCAGGTATCCAGGCATATTTAGTGCTTAATTACACAATGTGTCGTACAATGGCCATTCAATGTGGTAATTTAGCTCATGAAGGGAAATTGCTCTGCGCTGGTGACTGATCTAACAGGGATGAGAGTGGTATAATAGCATATAGTTGGCAGATGAGGAGAAACACGGCAAATTGCGTTTCTCCAGACAGCTCTCTGACTGCTCATTATTCTAATTGCGTACCATGGTACGGTACAGGATGCACACAGAGCCACAGCTTCCTCTGAGCTAGAACATGGACGAAAACCTCTTTAAAGGCCGTGTTGAGTCAATCAATGCTCACTCATTACAAACATCACAAAGTCGTGTTCCTGTCGTCTGGATGGTCTCACCCTGTGACGGTGGAAATAACCTCATAATCATTGTTCTGACAAGATCGCGGTTATCGGAGACCGAGTTTGAACTCTTTGAGCCGCACTAATGTAATTTGAGAGTGGAATGATTCTTTATACATCAAAATTTTAGTTGAATTTTTACAGATTTTAATCGGGAAGTCAGAATGAAACCATTGCTCTACAGATTCTTCTTTAAACCAAACTTTTTTTTTTTACCTTCAAACACCGCATATTTTGATGAGTAAATATTGGACACAATCGAGGTTTCTTTAAATCAACAACCCACGCTGGCCCTTCACATTCTACCACACGACCATGGTGTTCCATGGTCTCTCTGATAAATCCATTTGGGATTTGCAGAGTTAACAAAGGCACTGTTGGGAACAATACCGCACCCGTGCATCCACTAATTAAAGCCTCTTCTAATGAGGCCTTGTTGATTGACACAGCAGCGTTGGCCTCTCCCCTCACTTGCATCAACTATGACAGCCACATGATGAGGCTGATGACAGGCTCCCATGCAGGCAGATGACAGAATGTCACTGTTAGACCACCACCAGTCCTTGTCTCCCAACAACACCCCGCTCATATGGCACCTAGAGATTTGTCAAATCCTGGTGCGTCCATGTTTTACACAGTGTGTAAACATCAACAATTACACAAAAACAATCAGGCATCTCCCAGGTGCCTTTTTTTTCTGATGAGACGATTTTTACACCAGCATTTTTCTAAACATTTTAGCTTCCTTTAATAGGATGAGAGCATTTTCTGAAAAAATATATAAAGTCAAAATGTAGTCAATGCAAACAATCAGTTGTGTAACTGTTTTGCTTATATATATATACACACACACACATATATATATATACACACACATTTATATATATATATATACACACACACATATAGGGCCAGCAACTTTCTTTTCTCTGTGTAGAATCATTGAGGTATTATTTTAAGTATTATTTAATTTTTTTTATTTTTTGTTGTTGTTAGGGGAATTAATAATTCTATTACCAACTGTATATTTAAACTATGGGTGTTTAACCTGTAAGTCCCCAGATCTAAACAAACAATAAGAACACAGTTAAAGTAACTGTGGTTACCCCAAAAATAGTAGTAATTTAGTCAATTAAAGGTCGCAAATAAAACCGGTGTCACCCTGGTTGAAGGGTGAGATGAAGTGAAAATATTTTCAGTTTTACTGAATTAAATCATTGCAATTTTTCAATCTCTGTATAAGGACAAATTGTCCTCTGCAGGACAAATACATTTACATTTCCCAGTATTTTCTCCAGTCTGTGTCCAGCAGCCACCCGCTTAGTGAAAATGCCTCCTTTGCTGTATATATTAGCAGTGACAGACATGAATCTTGCCAAAGAGGCTGAGCTGTAGGGCATCACCGCGCCAAGTTGACAATGAGGGTGAAGTGTTGGAGTACGTCTCACACGAGGCCCATTGGCCCCCGTGGCGGGGCCTCCGTGTGGGTTTGAGAAGCCTTGAGGATGACAGGTGCTTTTCGTAAAGCTTAACTGCTGAGAGCCAATCAGTGCGGCCCATTCTGCTGGTGTGTGCCTGTGTGCGTGTTTCTACTCCTGTTGTTGTCATCTGGCCCACTAAAGTAAAGATGAGCTTGACTGACAGATGCATCCCAGTTCACAGTTTATTGGTTTCTACGAGGGAGCCAGATATGCCAATTTAGACAGGGTAGTGACAAAAAAGTTCCCATCTAAATGGAATAATTTTACCACTGGGAATTCTCAGCTGGGAGAGGGAGAGAAGGAGGGGGTTGTGTGTGTGTGTGTCAGTGTGTGGGTGGGTGTTTTTCTTGTCTTTTAACAAGGTTTGAATGACAAACACACAGGACAGTTAGGGGCTGACAGTAACGGCAGGTTTTTGATGCTTCACGGGGATCCATGAAATAAACAACAGCCAGAGAGAGGTGTTTTTTTTTTCTTTTTAAAAAAAAATGTTGTTTTTTTTGTCCTCCAGATTTGAGGGTTCAGGGGAAGTGGAATCTGGTCTGATCTGTTATTAAATATATGAACCCTCTACCCCTCTCTTTTCCAGTTTCCTTCTCATAAATGTATTACTTGTATTTTTTTCTGAAATGTATCTGATTTTTTTTCTTCATTCACACACTGATGCACACAAACCATATGTTGTGCAGCTCCGGTGTGCATCATAGTTGAGAGCTGAACACCCATGTGACCACCCTCTGTGGTCTGCACTGTTAATAAAAACCAAATGTCAATACAGCAGCAGCCACGGTAGCAGCAGTGCACCCTGGGAACCTTGAACCCTAAATCATTTTCTTATGGGGTTAATAATGAGGGGGGACACCAAGTCAATGACTGACATATAAAAGAATTTATTTCTCATGTGCACAAAAAGAGAATTGGAACAGAAGTGGAACAGAACAATGATTGAGGCCACAAGGCTTTCTGTATGGATTTTCATCAGAAATCCTTTTTACGTCCGTGACACGTCTCCTGTATCATCTTTACAACATCAGAGGAGCCGTTTGCTCACAGCTGCTGCGCTTCCTGAAGCGGTGACTTAGCCTGAATGACGTGGCCCGCACTCTGTGCCGGTGTTTCATCTGCAGATGTGTCGAGCTACACGCAGACGGAAATGAGCAAATCCCATGTGCAATTTGTGGACGAGTCGCTTCTCCTGCAGCGAGAGTCTGTTTCTCCGATGTCTGGGTCCCTCACATGTGACACTTGCCACTGACACCACAGTATGGTGCTGCATGTGCAGAATTGAACTTCTTATGCTTAAGATAGGTACTGCTTGGGGTTTTGAAAAAAATAATAATAGAAGAGATGGACAATTGGGGGAAAATAAGTGGGGACACAGACTGAAATTTAAATGAACAAAATGATCACAACATCCACTAACAGCAAACAGGACAATATCGTTGATTGTTGCCAAGGACTTCAGTTTGATCCAGTCTTGATTTGAGAGCGAAAAACAAAAGAAAAATCCATTTCAAACTGGAGGTTGTCTGTACCTTTATGCTGTTTTTTTTTTTTTTGTTGGGGATTACTTGTTGTCCGATGACCAAACATGATACAGAAAGCCATTTAACTCATTGCATAGTGACATAAAACATCATCATGACGACATAATGAAAATAAAATAATCAAAAAAAAAAAAAAATGACAAGGGACATTAATGTGATTTCAGCATCTAAAACCTGCCACTGACGGATCCACAGGTCGAATAATAGTTGTGCGGTTCACCAGAGCACAACATTACATTAAGACACAAATGTAATGCATGTTTTTTTTGTGTGTATATCTACAAAGGGAGCCAGTACATTAGTAAGATACTGCAGTGGTGTGTGTTTGACATTATTTACAGAGGAAAAAAAAATTGTCTTCACATTATTCACAAATCATTCTACAAAAGCAGCATTTTGTTGCAGCTGTTGGAATACAATACAGAGTTGTTGAATTTCAGCCTTTTTTTCCCAAGACAGTATTTTTTTGTTGTTGTTGTTTGGAAAGTGGTGATACTGTACCGTACGTGATCAGTGTTGATGACTTCTGGTTAAAAATAATACTGTTTAACTTATGCGTACATATACTGTAAATAAAATATTAAATATCAAACTAAGTCTTTGGCAAATGTCAGTAAAAGTACATTCACAACATATTTTTTTCCAACGAAAAGCAAAACTGAATCAGTATTTTCTCTCAGTCCTGATGGAGGATGTGTGTGTGTGTGTGTGTGTGTGTGTGTGTGTGTGTGTGTGCGTGCGTGTGTGTGTGTGTAAAGGCAGTTAATCTGACTCAACAGGCATGGATTTGACTGGGAAACAGAGTTGTAAGGCAATTGTTGAAGCTCATTTGCTATAGGCTCGCTCAACTGCATTCACCTTTCTAAACAGTGTAGGCATCTTTTGGTACCACCTTATGGATGAATAATGTATAAGCAAAATTATATAGAAAGGATAGCTAACAGAGCCATAATCTATGGATTTATATGGCTACAATTGTTTTTATTAATTGCAATTTTCATCTTTTTAAAGGAAGGTAATGCATGTGTCTGTCTGCTGTGTGGACTTAAATTAAAGCTAAATTTTTAAAATGCTTCGGAATGTACAAAATAAAGAAGATAACCAGAGATTTTAGTGCAAAAAACAGCAAAAATAAAGATGGATCGATGTCAGCCCAGAGGGGAAACTGAGGAAATGTGGCAACATTTCAGGACATGTTTGGATTAATATAGTGTGGAGTTGTAGATTCTGGCCGCAGTATTGTGTTACATGGTCTCTCTTTTTTTTTTAATACTTTGAGAAATGTTTAACATTTGTACAGGGTTGGTAAACATTGTGTTTCTCTGATAATTTAGCTGAAGAAATGGAACTAGATGATGTGGTCACAGCACAAGAGTTAGAAAAAAAAATCAGCTTGCCAAGTGTCAGGGGGGATTCAATCTGTGGTTCTGGCCCCTGCATCCTCAAACTAGATGGCCAACATCACCTCCACTGGACTTTCAGAGCAGAAATATACTGCAGTTTGTTACGTAAAGAAATATGAGGATCTGTGAATAAAATAACAACAACAACAACAGCAACGGAGAAACAAAAAATAAAAAAACCCACAATATTTTTTTTTCCACAGGGTTTTCTTCACACCGTTTTTCTTCGATTTATATTTTATAATATATATATTTATATAATCTCTTAAAGTAATTCTGGAATTCGTCAGGTCTGTGAGAGAGTGAGGGGCATGATGGGAGAGTTCTGTTGCCCACGGGGGGGCCATTATGGCCTACAGTGTGTGGTGCTGTAGCCTGGTGCCTGATGCATCAACCGACATCCACCTCGTAGCTCCATCCTGCACAGTGACCTCAGTGTTTCTCAGACGGGGACGATATGGAGGCCGAAGCTCTGGCCCTGAAGTTTGAGCTGCTCCTGGTGGTAACTAGTGGCGGTCGTAGGCAGTGGCAGCAGTGGGAGGCGCGGAGCCACGGGATGCGGCACTATAATAATAAGGGGAACCTGAAAGTTAACAGAAGAATGAACCGTTGGAAACCATGATGTCAACACTTGTTTCAAATCCCAAGAGCAAATGATATTTACATTTAATAAATAACTTTTTAAATAATAATATTAATAAAATGATGTATTATATATGTATTATATATATATAACTGAAGTCTACATTACATCACCTTTGCAGTAATTCTGATAGTTTATAACGATTGTGTGTAATTACTCACTTAGTAACGCTGGATTGCTGAAACGCCAGGCTTCATTGTATGCACTGTATTGTGGATGAGAATATGGGTTTCCAGAAAAGTCCCCACCTAAATCAAAAAAAGAGACAAAAATCAATGAGTATAGCTGCTAACAAACTGATAAAGATCGAAGATGTCTGGTTAGTACACTTCAGTATTGTGGAGAATTTAAAACTGTTACATTTTAGTTTTAATTTAAGACAAAAGCAAACTCCTCTGTTTCTTCATCAGACTAAAACTGAAGCAAAGCATGTGGACATTTTCACTGCTGATTGTGGAGTTTCAGCTGAGAACAAATGAATACGTCAATGCTGTGTCATCACTTTCAAAGGTCTCATTTCGCAGTCCTGAACTTCTCTTTCGACCAAACAGAATAATGTAGAAATTAGTAGAGTTTTTTTTCTTCTGTCCTTTACTGAAGACTTATGGTCCCTTTTCTCTGAAATAACTTTCTGGGACTAGTTCTGGTGTTGTCATCCAGAGCAGGTGGTGGTGGTGGAGAGGGTGGAGGAGACTGAGTGGATGTCACGGTGCGAGGCTGTGGCTCCGGAGGTTTCTTTCTTTCTTTTATGAGTCCATAAAAACAGGGTTTTTATGAAGGTGTTGAAGAATGGCCTTTACTTTAACAGTGTTTGGGGACAGTCACTAAATCTTCAGTCAGTCATTCTCCAACAGAGGATCAAAAAAACTTAAAGGACTGGGGTGAAAAAAAAAAAAAGTCGAGGTCTATGTCGGGGATGTGATCATCATGTGATCCAGTGCTGCTCACTGTCAGTTACAGGTCTCTGTTACAGGTACAATGTGTTTCCCCTTGTTCTGCCGGTGTCTACACACACTATGTGGCAGCTATAGCATCCTTACAGCCGCTGCTGTAACTGGAGCTCATCCCTGAGAGAGATAGTGATTTAAATATTTACAGGCCCTCCACGCCTCTGTGTTCTGACCCTTAACTGTTTGCTGTGAACCTGAACTGCAGGTTAAGTAGAGGGGAAAGAGATACGCTCTGCAAACCCTGAGTGTCCGGGGAGGCGCGGAGAGGAGCGAAAGCCGTGTTTATCGATGAGCCTGGTTGCGGGTGTGCTGTGTGGACACGGCCGGGGTAATGAGCGTTGGGAGCTGGAGTGTAACTGAGAGGAACTGTCCTATCTCACGGCCACTGATTGTGGTGATCGCCTATCGAGTTTGTCTAACGTCCTCGTCCGCAGACGCTAACCACACGCTAACCACAGTCTAACAAAGATATAAACAGCTCCCTTCAATCCCACACAGCAATGACTGTTCTTTTTTTCCAGCCGTGAATAGAGGTTTACATGGTTCACATGGTGCATTTGTCAAGTTAAAATGACTAAAAAACACATCTGTCAAACTGAACAGTGTTGTATTTGTGTCTCCTACCAGGGACCATTCCAGCGAGGGTGGATGTGGGGTAGCTGCCTTGTCCCGTCGGGGGAACGTGAGGCGGATATCCAGGTAAGGTGGTGCTGGCCATGTCTCGACCTGAGGACACACAAAAGACAGAAAAGTAATTACAAGGATGCTTAAACACAGGAATTAAATATTATTATTTGGAAGCGTAATGACATTTGCATCTTTAATTTCCTCTTTGATTGTGTTTTCCTTCCAATAAAACTGTCCTGTGTTTGTCGGTGCCACACAGGACAGGATTTGTTTCACTTCCAAAAACCACAGTGGTTAGGATTTAGGCAAATGAAGCTCATAACTTAGGAATTAAATGTGTTTTTCCTGCAAATATTATTAACTCCTTTGACTGTAACCGCATTCTGTGGGTAGTAAATGCAGAAAAAGTTGATAGAAATCAGAAAAAAACAACCTTCGACAACCTGCGTTGTACGGTGTTTTCTGATAACTGTGTTGTTTGTTTCCTTTTGTTGTCAACAAATATGGTTTATTGTATTTATATATTTTTTCTTATGGTTTATTTACTACAAAAACACCTCATACCAATCAATTTCGAATAAAACAGCACGGCATGCAATAACAACAACAAAAACATTTAGCTGTGGTTTATGTAATTTTTACAAGTTGGTGAGTCATATCCCAGCATGCATTGTTAAGTGAAAGTGAGCAATTGGTTGTTTTACAATCAGGAAGGATTTGAAGCATTTTAGATTTTTACTTTTTCAGGCAACAGTTTATTTTATTGAGATTTTTTTTATACCAGTGTCTAAAACAGTTCAGTTCTGATCATCAGAGCTAGCACTGCTCGCTGCTCTGTGTTGAGCTCTAATTACCACTGACACTCTTTAGCCTGACAGAACCAGGAAGCAGAGGTCTGGGACTAGGACTCCCAAAGCCTGACACCAGGCCTACGAACCCCTAATTTTTCTCTTTTAGCCCTTTTGTGCCCCCCAGTCCTCATGTCTGTCACCAGGCCAAAATGGACGCAGAGGCCCATTGTTAACGTGAGGGATGAGCAAAGGGTCAGAGCTGGAGAAAAGCAGTGAGGAGAGGAGGGGAGACAAGGGGGGTGAGCAGTGGGTGTTAATGAGGGGGAAATAGATTTGCTTCAGTGTAAACAACAAGAAAACAAAACCCCACAAAGAATCATGAGATTGATCGCTTGGCAAGAAAGGTGATCAATAAAATTGAAGTGAGTTTTAGAATCTGTGTACAGATGATTGAATTAATGGATAAAAAAAAAATCAACAGGACACTTTGATTTGGGTCCAGGGACTGGAGGCTAAAGTTGTACCTGCTATAAAGGGCTGGCTGGCATACTGGCTGTAGCAGGGACCGTGGGCATGGGCGGGGTAGCTGGGAGTGGAGGCATCTACAGAGAGGCCGGACTGGTGAGGCAAGATGTCGGCTAGAGCAGAGTCTCCAACAGAGGAGGGGGTGAAGGGGGCAAAGGAAGCCTCGTGAGGCTCCCTCTTAACACACATGGAGGGTGGGTATGATGGGTGAGGCTCTGCCAGGTAAAGAAAAGAAAAAAAAAGGCTATAATGCAGACATGCAGCTCCTCTCATCCTGTAAACGTTCACATCAGTCACTCGAATGTAGGGCTGGATTTAAAAGGGCTGAATTACCAATTCTACCTCTTCATTGTACCATTGCACTCAAATCTCTGACTAGGTTATTAAAATTGTATGCATAGCGCCACCTACAGCAGAGAGTGGGAAGCTACACGTTCACTTTGACTCCTCTTTTTCGCTAAAATAGACCTATTAGGTGTTTTTGGTGCGACACCACGTAAACAAACACTTAAAATTCAACACTGCACTTAATATGAAATGATTTCTGACATTTTACTGATTCAGGACCGGGTTCATGGAATTCTGTAGAGATGAGTCTTTAGCAATTGATTTGTTCATTTACATAGCTTATAATAATAATCTCATATGCATCCATTGGTAATTCACTCCGCTAAGTAGAAACATACACCGGTGGAACGTTGTTGCAGCAGCACACCGCGCCTGATCAATCAAGCTTAAACCTGTGTAAAAATTTCCCCAAGGTTCTGAGTAAACAATCAACATAATCTCACCACTGCTTCCTCAAAAAAACACAGTCTCACCCACACACACACACCCACACAGAACAATCACACACACACACACACACCCACACACAGAACAATCGGCTCGCAGACACTTCAGAACTCCACACTTGGATCTAATTTGGCTGATGAGACTTGGCATCTCTCATTTCAGCGACTCTGCCTCTCAAACCTATGGAATCAATGCGAGCTCTGTCTCCAGCCTTTCCACGTCTGCCGTGGAGCCTTTTTTTATTTGCTGTGGCCTTTAGGGAGAGATGGCTCTTTCTCAGCACCATGATAGCCTCATTAGCTGTTTCCCCCATCATTGTTGTTTTACAACAGGACTCTCTGTTGCGATTCCTCATTAAGATAAGGGCTGTTCTAGGGCTGGAAGGGGATGCAATCCTGTCAGAGCCTATGGCAGGGAATCAGGCAACTTAACTGGATTCTTTCCCATAGATATCTGCTGCAGTTTCCTTTTATTCTCCCCCTTTCTTTGTCTTTGTGAGAGCGGTTACTGTTGATTTAGACAGAAGTGCCGCAATTACACCGAGCACCTCACTAAAACCGAGGAAACAGCTCATGGTTAATGTTGCACTTTTTTTTTTTAAGTTATGATCAAATCTCTAAAAATTCTAATGAGCAGGTTTTTGCACTGAACTGGGTCAACGGGGCCATACGTTATTTGAAGTCTGAAAATGAGTGAAGTATTATGCTGTTGGAATACTACGCTATAATAATACCACGTGTCCAAGTGATATTTAAGACATAGAAATACTTTCCTTGAATGTCGATATTTTGAAGCGTAAACAAAATGCGATTTTGTCTAGTTTTGAATACATTTATAAAAATACTTTTATTTAGTGTTTTTAATTTTATTACACAAGGATACGATTTGGCCCCAAAATTGCTGAATTTTAGGAAGAAATGTAAAAAATATATAAAAACGTATGGGAAATAAAATGGAAAAAAAAGAAATTGTTCAGAAAATTGTGAAGTTGGTAAACATTAAATTAAATTTTGGCTTGTGTTGAAAACAATACTAGAAATCTTAAAAAAATTACAGAAAGGCAAATTCTACTTCCTCTGTTGTTGATACAAAGATAATAAAAACATTAAATGAACACAGCATAAAAACAGCTGTAACTCAGACCACAGCCTCATTATATTCTGTACAACTCTGGAGGTGAAGTCTGTAGTGGTGTTTTTCATCTCCTCCTAAGTGGTTCAACATCAGCTAAGCATAAAAAAAAAACTCTGTTGAGGTTTAATCTGAACCTGAGTGGATTTACACTGAATGCCAGTCGTCCTGTACAGCAGCGTTGCTGTTTTTCTCAGCGCCCAAACAACCGTTGTCAAACAGACAGGGGTTACGACGCAACAACAACCGATACAAACGCGGCGTTCAAGATCACTGAACTCTGAAACTAATCAGACATGGTGTTGCTTATTGTCCTGGAGACGAGGCAGAGCCTGAGTAGAGGGAGCCTGTCAAATCACCGGCCTTGATGATGGAGATGGGAGATAAACTCGGGGGTCCTTGGGGACTCTTCCTACACAACAAACACGTCTCTGAGTGAGCGGAGACGCTATAGAGTTCTCCAACACCTGTCTGTGCTCCACCAGCAGACCCCATCAACCATAGAAATGGACTGTTAAGAAGCTACAACCGTCCAAAGAGTGATGTGTCTGGATGTAGCTGCGATGTTATTCTTTCACTGCGCGTTTCACATTTTTTTAATGTTCACCCAGGAATTCCAAGTATTCACTAAGAGAACTTCTCAGAAAAAAAACTTGTAATTTGAGCCACAGTTGACCTGTGTCATTGTTTGTCTCTGAAAAATCATAACAGAACAGACCAGTTGTTAGTGACAAATACTCATGGTCACAAATAGCACAAATTCCCCATCCGTGTGTTTGCAGTAATTCATTATCAAATGTGTGCTCAAAGGTTACTGGGCTGTTGGGGGTGGGGGGTGGGGGGATACAAACATTAATTTCTAAGCTCGGGGCTGTCGGCGTTAACTGAGCTGAGACGAAACGTTTGTCATCAGGCCACACACCCAGCTCCTCAGGTGAGGTGGTGGGTGGTGAGACAGTGAAGCCAAAGTCATAAAAGGTAAATAAAACATGGTGGGTTTGAATGTATAACAATCTTCGTATGACGCTGTGATGGGTCAACGGGGTGTCCGTTTGCAGCCCACCCCTCTGCCCCCTCCGCTGAAATCTCTTTTTAAACCACAGATTAAATGCTGCACAGTTAATCCAATAATATGTCTAAAGTGGCAGATTCTGACACTGAGGATCTGCAGGATCTTGTCTGAACAGAACTCAGGTGTTAACAGACAAACGTGAAGACATGCTGTCCTGGAGCAGAGCCAGGCAGCAGGGGACATAGTGACATGTTGTTTTAACCCCTTGAGTGGTTGATATTGTGTGTGTGTGTGTGTGTGTCTGTGAGACGGGACAAGTGGAACAGCTTTATTGTGATGACAGTAACTGAAGGTATTTACCAAGTAAACCTTTTAAGATATAAGTTAGATGCTAGCCTTATTTACATATATCATAATATATATTAATTTTTTTTTTTTTTCTAATATTGATGCTGTTTTAATGTAATTTTCCTCATAATTATGATCGAGACTTCAGTCGTGGCCTTTGGTAGTTTTTCTTGCTTGTTAATTGACTGACTATGAGCATTTTACTTTCATAAATATACCTGTAGTTTTACTCTGAGACAACATTCTGTGGGTTATATCCTTCTTTGAAACTCTATTTTATCAACAAATACTAGTTTGTTTGATCTGACTAGGTGATGTTCTTTCAAAAACCTTGGTCTTTCCTCGTGTTGTCCTCAGGAGACTTGACTTTACTCTGACTTTTGCGCCTATTGAATTTTTCATGGGCTGCAAACTCCTCATCCTTTTCTCCGCTGGACTCTAATAACTGTCTTTTTTTGCTTCGTAAATAAGCTTCTAATATAAAGTACTTTCAGAAGTGCAGAGGAAATGTTCCTTCTCTGAATAAAATCACTTTGAGGATAATTAAAATAGATTAATTTTCTTACAGGCATCATAGTTTAGGAGTAAAAAAAAATGTTTGAACAAGGTGATAATTAAAAAAAAATCCTGGAGATATTTATTTTAACAGCAGCGCTAAATCCTTTTGTCATCCAATCCAAATGCTACATTTCAGCGCCGCTAATCTCTTTTGGATGTCTGGGAGGTAACAGCCTCATTCACACATTAGGGTAAACAGAGGACAGGTCTTCACTGCCTCCACGAGCGCCCTTGGAATGCAAAACTGGAGCACTTCATTAATCATTCATCTTTAATAGATTATGCAAATTTCAGGACATAAAAATCAACAAGATCAATAACGGCATGAATTTTAATTGGGAGCTGAAAACATTTAAAGAATGAATATAATCTGGTAGCTCCGTAGCACGAGAGCATCATTTATTGATAATTGGATCGCACCCTAATTGAGGAAGGTAATTTAGATTTTTATTTTTTTTCCTGCCCTGGTATACAGTCATATCTACAGTGTTGGCTAATGGCAGCAAAAAAAAATATTATGCACTAACAATCTACAACCAATCAAATGCACCGTGTATTACTTTGCGCAGTTGTGAAAATTAGGCAATAAAAGTTTACTGGATATTACTTTGGAGTTTAATTTGGAGCTGAGACACACTTTTTCAAAAAAAAAAAAAAAAAAAAGTCAACTGTAATGGTCCACTTAAAGTTTTGTTGCTTCGCTTCCCTTACTCATTATGCAATCTGTGGCCCTCACATGGACCACTATAGTAGGCCCCTGGCCCCCAGGTGGCTGGGAGGCCACCTGCTATGAGTGTGCTCCCCAGAGCGAGACCGCTTTCATAGGAGGAGCTGGGCATAAAAGACAAAAACACACCTTTCTTCTCCCGGGGCCCAACTTTCTGGGGCAGATCTACCTCCCACATATCCAGGAATAAAAGAGAGGCCTTTCTTTTCCCAGAGCTCTGTGTCCGGGTCCAGGGCTGGACCGTGGGGATCATTTGAGATGGGCTGCTGTAGGTTTCAATCATCTTGTCTTCTCTCTCTCCCTCTCTCTCCCTCTCTCTCTCTCTCAGCAGACTCATTGACTTTGATGTCCGCTGCATAATTATGAGTGTTTTATTAAAAGGCCGGCATATTATTCTGGAGTCGGTGTGGTCACCAGTAAACCTAACCTCTCCTGGGGAAAGAAAAAAGCCTCCGCCGCCGCAATGAAACAATATTTCAATTAAGCAGCCGGCCATCAACCTGGACAGCTGAGCAAAAGAAGCCACTGTGATCCACAGTGCACTGGTTAGAATGTGTCATATGATACAGATAGCTAATACTACATGATATTCAATACGCCGCACCTGCCATTACCTGCTGCCTCTCAGTGGAAGTTCATGAGTTTAAAAAAAAACAAAAAACTAATTCAGTTAGATTTTTTTTGTTTGTTTGTTTGTTTTTTTTCCGTCTTCTTTTGGCTGCCTGCGACTCGTCTTTATCTAGGTCTCCCTCTCTCTCACCACAGCGTGAGGCAGCCAGCCAATCAGCCAGCCGTGGTGCTGTTCCAGCCGCTGTCAATCAACAGGCTATCATAGCCTTTGATGACAACGTCGTGTCGTGGCAAGAACAGCAGCTGTCTCTTATGAGAAGTGCTCCCAGTCAATCTGTTAGCGGGCCAATCCAGGCTAACACAATAGCCAGTTAGGAGAAGCTGTGTGAAAGGCCTGAGGATTTAATGGGCTGAGATGATATATTACCTCGTTCTGGAAATAAACACAAGGAGAGGGGGCTCAAAAAAAAAAAAAAAAAGAAGGAGAAAGAAAAGATGGAAATTACCGTTTCCTTTAGAGGTTTTATAGGGTTTTTATACCACTGGAAAATGTGTGTGCCATCAGGAAACTGCAGTCAAAGCCTAATGAGTCAATGATGATGCAACATCTTAAATAAGAAGGAGCTGAACAAGAGGTTTTTTTTCACCTTGTTGGCTAATAGTGAGAGAAAAACAAACATGCCCTATTATGTGAAGAAAGAAGAGAGATTTCCAGTTTCTTTGGCAGACTGATGAGTTTGAATAACATATCAATAGGCTAATGACAGGGGACACATAAATGTATCATGATTTGGATGTTTGATATTAAAAGTAGTTTATTGATTTTTTTTTTTTTTTTTAGTCTCTTAACTGACCAATCCAAACACTGGGTCTAGGGTTCAAAATTGGTCCAGATTACAAAAACTTGCGGTCTTAAGTAGGTATGTAAGATATCATAAATATGTACGTTTTGTTCTTCTCAGCTTTTAGTAAGTATTTATGTGAATATTCTTCATCCCCTCTATTTAAATGAAATTGTTAGTGTTGTGAAATTCATCTTTTTTAAACTAATGGTTTGCAGCCAATCAGCACCAAGGTCAGTTTGAACCGTACTACAAATTGTTGCTCTTGTAACAGCCTTTGTAGACTGTGTGTTGACAATATTTCACCCTTCAAACTTTAGCAAACTGCACAGTACACAATGGAAAGGTAACGCTGCACATTCAGCTGCCTCGTTTGTAAAATGTCTTCGACCCTGCTGCTGCAGTTGTGTGTGTTCTTTCAGGGATCAATAGCGTGAATCAGACCTTACCTGTCACAACAGAGTAGCTCTGGGACACACTGGAGGCCAACTCGGAGCTGGCGCTGGTGGAGAGACTTGGCTTCACGTCTTCCAGGCCGGGGTTCAGGGAGGGGAGGGAATACTCATTTGCCTGTAGATAAGTACATAAATGTAAGAACGTGACCCTGAGGTGAGACACAAAACCACAACTTTGAGTTCCATTTGAGGTCCATTTCCACCACGTGATCCCGCTCTAGTCCCTGAAGGACTTTGAAGCACGTCTCACGGTTTACGTGACGGCATGTTAAAAAAAATTTGTCCGAAACCAAAACCTCAGAGGAATCGCTCTGTGATCCTGACTGGATTTTATGCACGTTGTTTCCGGTGAATTCTTTTAACACCAATACGTCCACCCTGTCGCCCCGTCAATCCAAGCTGCCCCCTTTACACCCTGTGCTTTACCAGGAGCCATGATGTATGCATGCATTAGGGCTTGTCTGAGGGGAAGGCAGGAAGGGTGAGAGAGAGAGAGGGATGAGGGATTGGGAGAGAAGTGAAAGGACGGGGTGTCAGCTGGCTCTTTGTGCTCCACTGCAGTCATCCCTGTGACCAGTCAAGGGAGGAGACATTCAGGGCTTTGTTACAGGAGAGACATGTGGTGGTTTTTTTATTTTATTTTATATTTTTTAAGAGGAGAACAACCTCAAAACCAACCTTTGTGCTCAGTCTCAGGGATGAACACATAAAAACCGTGTCGATAAAATAACAGAACAGTGAGAAGTGAATGGATCTGGTGTCTTATTAGTCTGTGTTTTACTCACATTGAAGATTTTAATTGCTTGTCCTTTGTTATTAATATGCTCTGCAGCTTTACAGCCTGTTTTGTAGGGGGTGTATTTTTTTTTATTAACTTTTTTAACTCTCGCAGACAAATTACATCAGTCTGTGGTCTTACACGGTGGTGCAGAAATTTAGAGGTGAAGTGAGTGAACATTTATTCACTGTGATCTCATATCATATCCACTCCAGCTGCTGTGATATACTGTGTTATTTAATGAGATGACACTTCCTGAACTGACTCTTCTTTAAAAAGGCTAAGTGTGTGTGTGGGAGTTTGTATCAGTCTGCGTGTGTGTGCATCTGTTTGTCTCAATGGGATGAGGGTCCCAGGGGGGGCGAGCTGGTGACCCCAGACTTGTCTGCCTCTATCTCAGATAAACTCTAATTGTCTGCCTACAACTGTTCCCTGGCACTGGGCTGGATGTTCTTCTCTATTCCACTGGGCCTCCGCAGCACAAGAGCCATTTTGTCATGCAGATGGGCTGCGGGCAGGGCTGTGGCTGTGGGCAGGGCTGGGCGGAGGGCGAGTGGCGAGAGCAGAGGGGCCTGAATGACCTGACCACATGGCTGCCAGAAGTGTGGGAGGGATGAGGCCCATTCACGCTGGCCCTCCTCAAAATGGCTTTTTAATGCCCTGACGCAGACAGCAGACAAGCCCCTAATGGTCTAATATCCCACCTTTTCGCCGGTTTAAAGAAAAGCAGGGGGTGTTGGAAACAGGGGAACGGGGAGGTGCCGAGGAGGAGAGGAAAGCGGCCTGATTAATATTACATTAAATTAAAACTGATTTTTCTGGACCATTCTGACGCCGTTTTTCTCTCCCCTCCTCCGCCTTCCGCATGCCTTTTTAATACCTTCTCCTCCACTCTTTGTGATTGCAAGTCATTTCCAATTCGTTTTGGTATTGATCTTGCCGTAGAAATCACTTTGGTAATTAGCTGCATTAGGGGCTGCGTAGCCGGCTGAGGGGCTGTCCCTCTGATTTATCGCCGCTGTAATTCCCTGCGATCACACGGAGATGAAAATGAACTCAATTAGGCCAGAGCTCAGGCTGCATGGGCACCCACACGGAGTTCCAATAGTAAAATTAATAGTTTCTTGTTGTTTAACCGTCTAATGAATGTAAATAAAGGTTATCTGCCGCAATAGGCTGTTGCTGGCGTTGCCTTAGTCCAGAACCTTAATGTGTCAGAATCTTCACTTTTATTTAACCTTAGTCCAGAACCTTAATGTGTCAGATTCTTCACTTTTATTTAAATATATATATATAAATAACAGAAATCAGTGTCTCTTGTTCATTTAAACATCGGCCACGGTGTTGGATGGAAACTAGGACACGAGTGCAAGATTGCAAATGTGTTACAAAAGAATCTGTCTGGCCAACCTGTTCGGGTTTGATGTGTTCTGAAGTGGGGAAGACATCAGGGTAAGGAGGACGTTCAAACACACGGTCCAGGGCCTCCAGCTGCTGCTGGGTGAAGGCGTCTGCTCGCAGATGCTTCCTTAAACTCTCCACGCTGCCCTGAGAGTCGCTGCCGGGGCCCGAGCCATCAGAGCCATCTAAGAGGGAAAAAAGGAGAGGAAGAAGGACATAAAGGAAGGGAAGGGAGAAAGGAGGGAGAAGCAGAGACAACATTCTCCATCAGGGCCGGGCTCGTCGTCTTCCTTGACATTATTCTAGTAGGCTATCAACGTGAGATAAAGAGCAGTAACGGGTGAGAGAGTGATGGCGGGAGGAGCGGCAGTAAATTCAGAGGAGATCCTCCAGCTCCACTGTCTGCCTTTTATCTCCCTCTGTTTTTATTCTCTCCCCTTTTTTTTCTCACTCCCTCTCACATATAGTCACTGTAGTGCAGCTCGCCGACTCCCCCACCGTCCTCACAAACACCACTTACCGTGGCTACCATCAGCGTGGTCATCATGTGATGGGTCTATGGTAATTGATGGATTACCTTGGGTGCAAATATATACTTGTAGAGGAGAGCGTGTGTGTTTGAGGTGGAGGGAGAAGGGCTGGCGATTACATCCAGAGCCTCTCACTGCCACCATGGTGGGAAATGGAGAGCCATTATTTAACTGTACCATTTCCTTGTGAACATATTACCCTTCCCTCTCGCTGCCCCCCCCACCCTTCACATATTGCCTGTCTTCGGGGAAACAGAATGGAGAGGGGACGGTACCCAGGGCCGACTGAGTGCGGGGCGAGGAGGGCAAGCGTATGCATTTCCTCCCTCAGTCACACTCTATATAAACAAATGAGCCTGTGCTTCCCTCCTTCTTCTGATCTCTGACCCTATCAACTCAGTGAGGGAGCCCACTGCTGCCGCTGCAGCTCTCCCTCTAGTCACTCATCAAGTCCAGAAGAAGAAGAAGAAGAAGAAAAAAAAATCATCTAAATTCTCCCGCCAGCTTCCTAGGAACCTCCACTCCATTGCTTGCCTCCCACTAACCCTCCCTCTTTTCTCCCTTTACCCGACCGCCAACAGCGGATGAGGGCTTTAGCTACCGTACAAATCTGTCATTCTAAATTTGCAGCAGATTATGTTCTCTCCTGGGCGAGCCGGCGGTGATATATGATATGCAAGGCTGCTATTGATTGCCTGATCCGCCAGCAGAGGAGGGAGGCGAAATGAACTTGGAATGAACATCATGCCTCAACTCATTGTGCGTATAATACTCTACTTAATCCCACATTTTTCTGTGCGATGGAATTCAATTGATCAATCATGTTCCACTGATGGTACCATTTCAGGGGCGTTATTGCCATTCTGCTCGGCTGCTTGACCTTTTTTCAATGGCTGAGGCCAGAGGATGAACCCGAGTCGTACCAAGAAATAGATCCACACAGTGGATGGAATAGTGGAATGTGTGTGTTTGTCAGGGTGTGGGTTTGTGCAGAGGGAAAAAAAAGTGTGTTTTGGTGGATAAATATATTTTTGGGATTTATTTATTTTTTAACCACAGCTTGTTCAGACGTTTTCCTCCATGGATGTTGGTTTAAGTGAGGGATCAGTGGAGGTGATGCTGGAGGTTGCTTGTGTTGGAGGAGCAGTTTTACAGTCACTGTATAAAATACAGTCAATATTTACTGTATGTCATACGGTATGTCAGTTAGTCAGATGAAGCCATCTCAATCAATGTCTTGTTTTTGTAATTAATTAATTAATTAATTAATTAATAGTCAGTGATCAATAATTGATTGATATACATCACAGGTGCAAATTATAAGTGCAGCATTGATATATAGCTACATTTTTTTTTTTTTTTGCAGTTCTCTGATGGTAAACCCTGTCATTATGGTTCTACGTAGATAATGAGCAAATCCTGCACATTTTTTCTGATGCAGGTTTCAATATTCCCCTGAGCATCCAAACTGGGTATATTGTACATTTATGTGGTGGAAAGTGTTAAATTGGCCTTTTAGGTCAGAAAAAGACAAAATCATTTATTTTCAGAATTTGCCATTAGAGGCTCATGTTTGACATATATCATAAAAAGGCTGCAATAAATCAGATTCATCCTCTGACAGTCAGCGTGTCAAGTGGAGTGTGAAGCTCTCGACTGGTTTTTTTGTGTGTGCGTGCGTGTGTGTATGTGTGTGTGTGTATCTCATTGACTGGTTTCTTTTTTTTCTCACCCTTTCCTCAGCCCCTTTGGGTGTCTCAGCAGGTATTCTCTTATCAATTCCCACAGCTCCGGCTCACTTCATCTCTTTGTTTTAACACCAAAGTGTGAGCAGACCAACTGAGATAAAAAACAAGACTCTCTCCAGCAGTGACACAAACACATACACGCACACACACCTTCCTCACAGCCAGGGTCCTTCTGGTAAACACATAACACAAAACTATGCTTCAGCCCCAACTCTTCTCTTAATACTATGGCAAATCCAGCTGAAAGCAGACAAAGTCACTCTCAGACACACACACACACACACACACACACACATTTACCCTGTGAAACAGACTACAATGGTATCAAAGCTGTCTTACTACGTCTCTTAAGGGGGATGTAAACGTCATGTGTTGGCAAGGTGGCACTTTATGTCCTCCTTTCATCTCCCCCTGTTCCTCTGATAAGATAACTCAAAGGGAGAGGGAGCGGAGGAGTTGGGGTGTGGGGGGGGGTATCTTGTTTGAAAGGCAAATTAATTCCTACGTACTAGCTGTCTCGCTCCGTAAATCAATGACACAGAAGGTTGTGAGATCAGAGGCTGTTGGTCCACTGTTTACTCGGTGGTCCTGTGCTGATAGGTGAGATGACGCTGATCACAAATTGTGCATCATTTGTATCCGTGTTGTTTTTAATGCAGTTTGGTTTAAGAGGAAAAAAAAAGAAAAAGAAAAAAAAAAGGAAAGCAAGAAAGCGCAAACAAACTGGTACGCCCAGAGGGTAAAACTCCTTCCCTGTAAGCTATATTTATGAAACCTGTGAAGCGGAAAGGAGAGAGATGACGGGGGTGGTGGAGAATAAGAGAGAGGGAGAGAGAGAGAGAGAGAGGAGTGGGGGGTGGGAGCAGCAGCAACACTGCCATGGCTGTTAAGATCCTGTTTTGTTGTGGCATGTTTAAGAGCTTTATTAATTCGATGCAGCAGCGACGACCAGTGTACTGACTGTCAGCATGGATAGTGATGCTTATTTGATATTTATTTGATACTCTCTATGTTGGCATTAGAGGAGGGAGGGGGTGTGGGGGATGAGATCATAGTGTTTTCAAGCCCTGGTTATTTTATTTTCTTGGACTGAGATGATGCCGATCCTGGTGATTGACTAAATAGAGGAATGTTTTTGTTTTAATTTGTTTTAAAATGTATAGTTACCTCTGTTATAAATTCAGCTGGCGCTAGACCTAATATACCTTATAGTAGTATACAAACGTTTAAAGGCACCTGTGTTCAGTGCAACATGATCAGAATGTTTTTAAAACCTCATCAATCAATACAGTATAATTTAAGGAAACACGGAAAATACACCGAGAATCAATTTTCTTGTGACTACCCTTTGACTTCACACCCACGTCAGTTCTTAAACCTGGACCTGCTCCTAGTCAGAGACCTGGCAGAATTATAGTCCAGCACATGATTAACTTATGTAGTTGGAATTCATTCAACAAACAAAATTACATTTTTAAATTAGAAGATGCCAAGATGTGCCAGCAGCCAAAACAGGTAGAAACTGGTGGGACTCAGTAGAACCATCTAGAGTCTGGAGGACTCACGTAGTGATCGTTATAAATACGACGGAGAAACAACGTCAAACAAAACAAAAATAAGTGAGGAACGAAATATTGCAGTAATTGCTCTAAACTGATGGGTTCGAAGTTGAGATTATTCTTTAGTTGAGTCTTTTTTTATTTTTACTAAAAGCTAAGATGAGGTGTGATGATGAGTTTATGCAGACAGCTGTGCAGCATGTTAAAGATTCTGAACGGGTTTGGTGCTGCATTTCTGCAAATGTTGGAGAGTCCATTTGGATTAATGTGAATGGAAAACATTACAAGAAGAACCTTCTCCACATACAATATATAATATACAGGGCTATTTCATTAGATCCTAAATTAATTTGCTGCAGGACTTTGACCCCATCTACACAGTGTAATTGAGGAACTATATTTAGCGCAAAGAAGATAAAGGAGTCGTGATACGAGACAGAATTAAACAAAATTGTAATGTGTTTAAATTAAATTAAATTAACTAAAAAACAACTTGTTGCAACTAATATTGATGTCGAAAACAGAGTTCTCCTCCCGTCTTTTACATTGTTTGGTCCGTAGACAAAGACAGCGTCTAAAGAATCTCTGTTACTTTTCATTCCACCTCACTTGCACCTGCCTGTTGTGTAGCATTACTGCACTCACTGAGTATTTGTGGAAATTCAATTACACGCCGTCTTTTCTCTCTGCCTTTTCTCCCTCCTCAAGCTGAGTAACGCGTTGCTCCATTAATTCTGGGCATCGTCGTTCCTAATTGACTTTTCTCTGACATGATCCCTTTCCAATGACTGACTCTCTTCTTATATTTTTATTTATTTATTTGTGTTGCTTTCGTATACACCGTCTGGCGCGGTTACGTTGCTAAGTACAGAAGACGCAGAGCAGAAAGGGACAATGAGGGCAGAAATGAAATGTGGGAAAGAAAAAGCCTGACAGAGATATTGTGAGGAGGCAGAGGAGGAGTGGGGGAGTAATGTAGACCCTTGTGTGTCCTTCTTCACCGCCGGGGCCACTAACAGCTTCTTGTCTCTGCGTTACGCTCCGTGGCCCCTCTCAAACCTGAGCTTTTCTCTAGCACACAACCCATCAGCGCCATCATGGTGCTCATGATTTCATTTATTTCTGTCCCGCTCTGGATGCATTTATTTTCTAAAGCGATCTTCTATTGACTCATTGTCATGGACTGGCTTGACTAGCCAACCAGGGTAGGCCCAGGTTCAAATCCCTACACTGACTGATTTAAACCCAACAAATAGGTCACATGTGTATGAGATACACAGTGGACGATCTTTAGAAGGTCCAAATATCAAATTTGAACAAATCAGCGCGGCCACTGTATTCAGGTTTCCTGCGGGCGTTGAACCAGGTTGATGTGACTCCGCTGCTACAATCGCTCTTTTATGTCATGAATGAACAACCTGCCAGGGTCGTATATTTTTCTCCCCACTCACGCACACTCATCAGCTCCTTCTACACTCATCTCACACCCACGCTACAATCACAAGTTATGACCTTTGCTTTCTCCGTCTAATTTATCACTGTAGCTCCCTGCTGCCCGTCCTCCCCAGAGCTCCACTGGGCTCCATCCAGGAGGAGGAAGGCTGGTGATGAGAGAAACATACACTCGGGTCACATCAACCCCAACTGCACACAGCAGCAAGGTCAGAAGTGAGATGTCACCAGGTAAAGGTAAGAGCTCCAGAAATGTCTCTATAATCTCAAAATTAGCTTCACTGTATGAGCTTCTTATTTATTTTTTTTGTTAACTCCATGGACGTTCAGATCCATGGCACACATTCCACAATTTCCCAGCAGCCGTCATCCGACCATATCTGTCTCTGCCTCTGTCTTTTCTTGGCTTCCACATGTACCGTAGGTTTAAATGACTGAGTGAGAGCTTGCTCTACAACGGACTAATTTCCTCACTTCACTATTAATGCATTTGGCAGAAACAACAGCCCATTTCCTGTAATGAGATACACAAATAAATCTGGCTATGGATGGAGTCTGGGGTGGGCTGGTGCACCGTGCTGGTGGCGGTGGGAGTTAGAGGGGGAGGAGCTGGGAGGTGGGGCGAAGAAAGGGGGCTGCACTCAGACGCGTTCTCCCGGCTCTGGCATAATTGGTATCAGTGCTCGCAGACATGCAAACCAATCTCTCCAATGATAGGGTGAGACTGACTCTCTCACCCTCTCTCTCTCTCTCTCTCTCTCTCTCTCTCTCCTCACTTTCCTCCCTTAAGGCTATTTCTTTTGTCTTTTCGATGGCTTGCACATCCAAGATAGAAGGAGGGGGAAGAGGAGGGAGAGAGGGATGTTGGGGGCAAGATGTTAATTTGTGAATTAATAGCTTTTCTCTGCAGAATTGCAAATTCTTCTAAATGTCACAATGTCCACTGTGTGAGGAGCCAGGGAGTTTTCAACACACACGTGTGTGTACATGCACACTTTCCCATTCACAGGTGTGTGTGTGTGTGTGTTTAACATCAAGGCACAAATCCTAAAATTAATTCTTGCTCCCATTCAGACCTCCAGGATCTCCTCACCTCATGAACTTCCCTCCCTCATCCTTCCATTCCTCTGCCTTCACCCCCTTCTTCCTCCTCCTCCTCCTCCTCCTCCTTCGTCTTCACTCAAAGCCCCACAGTGTAACAGGCAACTTTTAATTTGCAATAACACATGACAAGGACAGATTAATGGGTCTTGCGGCACCTATGTCCCTGGAGCTCATCTTATGGAGACCTGGTGTACATAACGCAGCACGTCACACTACATTATCTCCACAGCCCTGCAGTAATAGAGACCTTTTTCTTCCACAAAGGGCAAACGGCTGAGTACAGCCACGCTGGTGACACACACCACCACTGGTGTGACACCGACAGTGGGACAGAGACTCGATCACTGGTCAGACAGAACACATCGTAACCAGAGATACAAATGCTTGTTTACCTTTGTTTGTGTGTGTTTGTGTGTGTGTGTGTGCAAAATACAACTTTGGCATAGAGAGAAAGAAATCATTAAAAACACAATCACATTTAGTTGATGAACATGAACGACAATACAGAGGAAAATGATCTCTTACTTTAGCTCAGTTTTTTTCCTAGTAGCAGGATAATTAATGGCTAAAACAGAGGGAAAATGATCGCTGCCACTTATTGCTGAGACAACAACACAACAACAAAAAACACAAATTAAGAGAAAAAGGGGTTTTAGAGATCCCAAATTGACCAGAGCAAAAGAGAAGGACATCTAACTGGAACTTACAATGTCCTATTTTCCTTCCATCCAAGTGGTTGCCACTCCAGAGAACTAAAGAGACAGAAACATAAAAGAAGGAAGTGGCCCGTTTTGATAAGTGCTCTTTGAGATAATTTCAACCATATCATCCCATTAGCTTCCTCAAAGCAGCACCACAGAACACACACACACGCACAAAAACACAGACACACACACAGCAAAGCACAGGCACATGCGCAGCCCCCTCCCTGCCTCCACCGGTCTGTTCCTACACCTGTTCAGGCCTCCACTAGGGACATGTTAATTCATAGGCATTAAAAAAGCCAATTGTTTGCACAACCGATAATCTATTAGCCCTCAGGCAGTGTGTGTCCACTCTTGCCTCGCCGACGAATGAGAATTTCTGGCTTGGACCGGATAGGCGTCCACTTAATCTTTGATCGTATCTATTTTCCTGCCAGTCCCTTGGCGGCGACTCTGCGGTCACGTACGAAAATAAAAAATACTATATTATTGAGTTGAAGTGCCGTACAGCATTTTTAAAGATAGATCGCAGCTCAGGTGAAACTGCGTGTATGTTTGCAGTAAGCTGCAGGATTGTAGGTACTGTAAGTACTGTAGTACTGTAGTGTCAAGTACACAAAAAGAGATATATTTTTTTTCCCTGCTTTTAAAACACAATATAAAAATAAAAAGATAGCGCAGCGCTGATGTCTCACCTGAGGGGATTAGACTTGTGTGACAGCTATATAGGATTTCTACAGTACGCCCGAGCATGTTCTGAAATTGAGATGCAGCTCTGGAGGCGTATGGTAAAACACAGGGCATCAAAAAGCTGATTGAATCACAACACTTGCCCTGGCTGGTGTACAACATAACAAGTCACTGGAGACAGCACACAGAAACACACTTGGCTGCAGCGCTGTCATAAATGCCATCCTCTTCACACACAGGATAAAAGTAGGAGTGGAGTGATGGAGAGAATTAGAATAAAAAACACAGGAAAGAAACGGGTGGAAAAGGGGGAAAAAAATAAAAAAGGGTTTCTTTATGTTGGGCTCACCATCATCTCGCTTTCTCTTCTCACCGTTGGAGCGGGGTATACCCAGAATGCCGTTGATGGAGTAGGATCCTACGGGGTTGTTGGAGGCGCTGGTCACAGGCGGCGAGGCCGTGCTGGGCACTGATGGAGAAAGCAGGGTTAATGTGTGTGCGGCGCGTTGGTGCGGGCGTGTCGTGTGGGGAATGGGGTCAGCAGGGGGGGTTGTTTCT